ATATATATATATATATATATATATATATATCTATATATATATATATATATATATATATATATTTATATATATATATATAGATATATATATATATATATATATATATATATATATATATATATATATATATATATATATATATATATATATATATATATATATATATATATATATATATATATATATATATATATATATATATATATATATATATATATATATATATATATATATATATATATATATATATATATATATATATATATATATATATATATATATATATATATATATGTGTGTGTGTGTGTGTGTGTGTGTGTGTGTGTGTGTAAATTATAATTATAATATAGGTATACTGTATGATGCAAATTATATATACATTTAAATATCTATGCAACAATTTGTTTTTATGTAGTTTTGTTTTTATGTTCAGTTGAAGTCAATTATTAGCTTCCCTGTATATTTTTATTCCCCAAGAGAATATTTTTTTCAACACATTTCTAATCGTAATAGTTTTAATAACTCATTTTTGATGTTTTCTCTTTGCCATGATGACAGTAAATATTATTTGTCTAGATATTCTTCAAAACACTAGTATTCAGCATAAAGTGACATTTAAAGGTTTAACTAGGTTAATTAGGGTAAAGTTAGGGTTCTGGAGACAATGCAAAACTAATACTGCTTAAGGGGGCTAATAATATTGACCTTAAAATGGGTTTAAAACAATTAGGAACTGCTTTTATTCTAGCTGAAATAAAACAAATAAGACTTTCTCCAAAAGAGGAAATACTGTGAAAAATTCCTGAATCTGTTCAACATCATTTTTTATATATTAAGTAGTTATGATGCTCCCAAAATAATTCCAAGACATAGCAAAAAATCTCCACAGATTCTGTCTGGCTCTAATCATTAACCGGTTGTAAATATTGTTATCAACAGTTGTCCCCAGATGTTTTGTTCTTCCCTATTGTTCTTTTTTTTATATTTAATTTCTCCTCAAATCTCTTAATAATGTCAATCCATTTCGGCCACCCTCATTTGGTGTGTTAACTTGTTTTTAATAAGTGTGTTTATGAATTATGTTGCATATGCTGAGTTTTGAAGAGTGTGTTGAGGAATTGTGTGGTGTGTTTTTCAGCGGACGCTCCTGCGACGGGCCACTCCTCACCCCGGCGAGCTCAAGAACATGAAGAAAGTGGCGGAGAGCATCCGAAAGGACATGAACGCCGCCAAAGGCCTGGATTCCAACAAAAACGAGGTCAATAATGCTGTGGATCGCGTGACCACGTCTGTGTGACCAACATGTCTCTCCCCAGTGTGTGTGTGTGTGTGTGTACGCCCCAGCCATTCCTCTCTGTTTCAACGCTGTCCCGGAGCCCCCTTTATCCAGCCCTGCTCACTTCATCAGGAACCCAAACACACGGTGCCTTGTTTTCTAAAAGAGCAATGATCCTGCAGAGGAGGAGCACGTCTCACTCTCCACATCCACTGCTTTGTTTGCTTTCCTTCTCCTCACAGGTAGTTGCACTACAGTCTTAGCCTCTGAATCTTTTAATATTGAAAGTTATATATATATATATGCTCTATTTTTTTATTTTTTTGAAACACTGGGTGCTTTTCTTTCTTTCGGTGACGTGTGGAAAAAGCCCCGATATTTCGGACCTACTGATTATTATTATTATTTTTTAATTATTGTATAGTTGCTTGTGAATATTGACACGTTTTTATACATACATATATAAATATAATAATGGCAGCTCAGGTGGTGTAAATTTTAGAAAGAGAAGCCAGTTTTTCTATAATCGCCGAATTCTTCCTTAATTTCCCAATTCTAAAGCATTCGAACAAAGATTTTCAGCATTGAATCGAACACCAGCGGCAGCTTCTGTATTTCCTCTTCAGGTTTTTCCTCCCTTTTTTAATATAACTGTGTGTTCAAAATCAGAAAGGGCTACACACTCCAGCATATCCTCATCAGCTTCCCGCTTGATTTTCTTGTCAAAGCAGGTACAATACAACTTTATAAATTAAGGTAATGGTCATTTTTAATCTTCAGCTTTGGTTTAGGCTTTTATTTCTCCCTCCAAGTGCCGGAACGCACTTTTAAATCCGACGCTATCGTTTTAAGTATATGTGTATGGTACACTACGGACTTCATCTTCCATTTTTGTATGTTTCGACTTGTATTCCGAGACCAACGGATGCTTTTTAATGTTGATTTTTTTTTACTATCTTGTAAAATGATGAAGCTGCACAGAACACAATCTTAAGCAGGCGCTGTTTCTGGGCCAGTACGTTTATGACTTTAACCACTGAAATAATAAAATGACTTCATGAAAGCAACTCTTACGATTCTTCATTTACTCCTTGAATGCTGGTTTATACTTCTGCGTCGAGTGATCGCCGTTACCCACGGCACCTGTCTTGCGCGTAGTCGTGCATTTATAGTTATGTGTGCTGCTTGTGTTGCTCTGCAATAACATAACCTACAGCCAGTTTCAGAAGTGTTATGTTCCTCTGTGTCGAAATTCCTTGCAGGTGTTTTGTTTTTTCTGAATGCTACCTTAATGTTACAAGTAGCTAAAACTCGCTCATTCAAAGGCGGAAGCCGGCGGACGTGCAACAACGTAATCTTAAGGTAAACACAAGGGACTCTTGTAAACACTCACACCACTGGGCTCGCGGCTCTCAGTACCGCCTACACCTGGCACAGCTACCAAGCCGACCAATCACAGAGCTTGCGCTATGCATTGTTGCGACATGTAGTCAGCTACGGCGAGGGCTATGCGATTGGCGGAGGTTGCACCGAGCCATACACATGGGCTTGACGCAGAAGTATAAATCCGCCTTAATACTCCAGGTGTTTGATTAAACAGTTCTGGCAAATAAAGAGGTAAATCTGTCAATATTTACTCTGAGATGTGTATAAGGGCTGCACAATATATCGCATTGACATCGATATCGGTACATGTGCATTCGCAGTATTCACACCAATGGCATTGTTGTTGATCAGCGATGAAGACCCGACAGTGTTATCTTACATTACATTTGATTGTTCAATAAAAGTGGTGGGACAAAATAGTAATACGCTGATTTATCATGTTAATTCCACTTAGGATAGGTTATCGATGTAACCAAGTATTGATATTTATTTATTTATTAATTATTATTATTATTTTAGGGGTCTATAATTGGGATAGGACAGTGGAGAACAGACAGGACAGCATTGGGTGCAGAGAAAGGGGAAGGATCAGCAATGGATCTCAAGCCGGAAATCGAACTCTGGTTTTCGTGAGCACCATCGTGCTATACGTCTGCATTTAACCACTAGGCGCCGACATGGATATTTATTTAGAAGTACAAAAGATCTGAAATTATTCATCAGCTTTGCACTGTTATGCTGCGTTCACACCTGACAAGTGTCAAGCACAAGTGATTTACACGTAAAGTCATTGCAAAGATGCGAATAGGCGTCCTGCGGACCAACTAAAGTGGACATTCGCCCCGTGTTAACCAATCTTGAGCTTGCTCCTATAGGGCTGTGATTATGACTTAGTGCCGGTTGTTGGTGTCCCGAAGGGCAATCCTTTTGCAGACGCCAGTCAACAGCTCATCAAACTGGGCTCGGTCTGAAGCACTTCTGAAAGCCTCCATCATCCAGGTATAGTTTCTAGAGGAGTTGATGAACTCAGAGCTGGGTGCACCTCTGAAAGGATCTAGTGCACTCAGACATGGTGCCGAACGAATATACACCGTTTTTCAGCCTTCCTAAAGTGCATAAAGCACAGCTACTCCCTCAATAAAATCCATGTTAGCCATTTAGCAGTGAAACTAGAGTCTCCTGGCTGACAGACGCACTGCCCACGATGCGAATCCGCATTCATTGTGAATTTGACGCACGAACGAAGCAAGTAAACTCAAAATGTTCACTCATCTATTCACGTACGAATAGCGCAATTTATTAGAGCGTTCCAGGGCTGATGTGAACACAGCATTACCGATCGAAAGGGGATCGAAGGACATGTCAATGATGCAGTTTATTAAAATCGATATCTAGTTTTACAACACAATACGATATTATCATGATATTTTGCCGCCGATAATGATAGATGACAGTGCCAGCGATATACAACAATATGCCATGATCTAATAAAAAAGTGCGTCTTATTATTTTTTGATGCATTTTCCCCTTCATTTACAGATATATTGTGGATGTTTTTCTTGCGGTATATTGCTGACATTGTGATGTGTCATGATCTGGAGCACAATATAATACCGTATTATATTACTAATACTAATATAACAATCTAAATATCCAACACAATCTCACGGCAATTTGTAACTTTTTGATTTAGAGGTTAGTTCGTATGAATTCGTACGATCTAATTTGTACATTTTAGAACGATTTGCTCATCAGCCAATGACGGTTGGGTTTGGGGGTGGGGTTATGTGCCACGCCTCCTTTTTAAATTCGAACAATTGCGTACGACTGAACTCGTACAAATTAGCCACTAAACTGACAAAACATAAAATACTTTTGTTTTCTCGTGAGATCAGATTTCGGACTATTGAAATGTCTTATTTATTAATGCTTGCTATTTGTTCGATTCGCTCCGCTACAAGATTATTACAATCCATCTACATGAGTGATTTCATCTCATATAAAGCTATTCAAGACATCTGTTGAAATACTGTTCGTATCGCAATGTATATCCCAGAAAATATCAATTATGGCAATGTCAGATTTTTCCCATATCGTGCAGCCCTAACGTGTATGCTGTTATTCATTGCTTTTTATTTATTTATTATCTCCAGCTTCAGCTCATCGTCTGTCCACCCTTGTTTGTTTTCTCCTCGCTGGTTCCTCTGCTCGCATATGTGGCTTTTCCTGCATTATTTCAAATGATTTTTATATGTGCTGGTTTTTATCAAATGATGAAATAGTTTTATACGATCAGCTTATTTTGCTCCTGAAACATTTGAATGCATAAGTATTACACATTTTGTGATTTATGTTGATTTTTTTTACTATTTATTTCTGCTTTTGAATTGCATTATGGGAGCTTGATCTCTCTTCCGACATCTTTGAACATTGAAAAGTTGAAAAAATTGACTTTTATTAACATTTTTAATAGTGTTAAGTGATATATTGTGTGTGTTGGTGTTGTATATTACACAACAAAAAACCTTGTGATAAACTCCAGCACATTTTATGCTGTTTTACAGACCTACTTCTCTAGATATTAGCTATTTCTTACATGTTATATTATTTTAAACCACTAGAATGTCAATAAAAGTCACTTAGATAGACTGCCGAGGGGAATCTTCAACATCAAAAGTGGACAGAGATCAACATCCCATAATGCAATCCCCAATTGTAAATAAACAGAAAAAACGTAAACATGGAAACTGGTAATTAACGGATATTTTTACAGTGTACGTCCACATTACAGTAAATTAACAGTGATTTTATGTTCACAGAAAGCATACTAGCATGCTAGTAAAATGTCTATGTTAGAGCTTCTGATCACTTTTGTGATGGTAGACCGATATATTTAGATGTACTCTTGACTTGTATAATGTTTTGCTTAAAATGAAACACTATGTGATTGTTGAGTTTTGAAGGATTTTAAATTGTTTTAAATGACAATGAGTGAGTATTTTGATTCCCGGATAATATTACTGACAAGTTTCGAGCAACGCGTAAGTAAATCAAAGGGGTAGCATGGCTAAGATGTATTGCATTGTTTCTTAATGTTATGTTTAAACATGCGTTGACGTCTTTGACCAAAGTATGAAATGCTCTGAAATGTACCCATAAAAATTGTGCATTGCTGCTTATTTGAATGATTCCTTATTCCACAGGCTCATAATTCTGCAAGCATATTCAGCGGAGGGCAAAATTACAGAAGAATTTATGAACACTTTCTTTTTTTTAAATTTATTTATTTATTTTTTTGCATAAATAGATTATCTGTGCGTGCTATTGTTATAGTGTTTTACTAATAAGCCAAGGCACTTGGTTACAACTCTATTTTGTGGACAACAGTAAAATTAGAGAACAGCTTGTAGCACAAAAGATTCAAACTAAATTAAAGGCAAACATTTCTGATGGTTAAGAGAGTCCAAAATGAGTAGGAAGTGTTTAGAGCCTTGAATGATTTGCATGACTTATGAGGCTACAGGACTTCACTAGTCTCAAACACCACATGTCTAGTTTCTCAGAGGACATCACTTGTTTTTTGCTAGTCTCCTGCTGCACATCATTACCCATTGTATGTTGTTGGGGATGTTTTCATCCACTCTAGGGTGAATTTGAGTCTTATTGGTCCACAACTTTCTCTGTGTTTCAGCAGATGTAATGATTATTGATGACTAATCCTATTTTGACGAGCATTTTGGGTAAATGCTTTGAAAATATTATAAAAATCAACAATATTCTCCTGAGAAAATACCCTTTGGTTATGTTGGGGCTGTTTTTGCCCCACTGACTTGCATTATAATCACATTTTTTTGATTGCAGAGGCATGACAGCATATATTGTTGATTGTTGCTGGATTTCCGTTGGTAAAATGTGTATTTTTATTCTTGATCACGTTTTTTTTTTTTACTATTAAAATCATGGCCAGCGTCTTACAGTGTACATATAAAATTCGGAAGTATATTCTTGTAAAACTGACTCCAATATTCTATTATTTTTTATATACTGTATATTTTACTCTGTTCATGCTAGTGTCCTCGCTGACAGCAGAGCCGAACATTATTTAATATTTTTACCACACACTCAGTTGAGGTTTCATCATGTTTTCTGTATCTCTCCTTCCAGAGGTATGACTTTAGGATTTCTTCAGATCAATCATGGCTTCCAGTAGACTCATCCATCCATAACAGTCTTTTGTTATAGTTTACCGACTGAATTCAGGCTTTTCTTTTCTGTACCAGGCCAGCTTTATCTTATTGTCCGGAGTGTGTTTTTATTTCTTTGAGAATCAGTTTTTCACAGATGAAGCAGCTTTGTTGTCTTTATTATCAGCAGGGTTTAATCTTCTCTTCTCTTGCTGCTTTTCAAACCAAAAGAAAAACTGACTGAATTTCTGCAGTAAGCTGTTTGTATACAAAATAGCCCCCTATACAATAGTGCACTATTTGAGGGAGCAGCCATTTCTAGTGCTGTCCAAAACCATGTTGGACGTTATAAACTATTAACAAAGTGGACTCAATCAATCCCTCTATGCAAAGTAACAACGAGTTTACAACCCACATGATGGCTAGAAAGTTGCCGTTAAACTGCACTGTGGGAGTTTGCGCGCCAAATTAATTCCCGCGTCTGACCACAAGATGGC